CTAAATGCCTTTGAGCCACAAGCACAGCAATGTAAGGATCTTGTTTTCTAATTAATATAATTTAGGTGTTGCAATGAGCAATCATGGTTCCATAAAAAGCAGCAAGAATAGATGACTTTAAATGGTGGCAAAAGCTCAACATCAATTATAGTAATACCTAGTTCCTAGATTTCAAACTGCTTTAAAAAGAAGTAAAATATTACTATTTCCACCTGACAAATACAGAAATATATTCAGGGACCTTTTTGTAACAAATAAACAAAATTCATTTTTAATATCACCCGTTAGTATATTCACTACATGATTGATTCATTATTGCTTTTGTACAGAAACACTATTTAGTAAAGGTCCGTCACCAACTTATATTGAAGACACATTTTTGTCTCTTTAAAGTTTAAAAGCAGACAGATTTCACCCCAGATAATCCTTGGTCCTGCCCAGCTCCAAAAGGTTCCTTTCATTCAATTGTCTGTACCATCTCCAGCGAACTGAATTTTGCCCTCCTTGCATATGCACGTGCTCATGCATTCCACTGCCACTGAGCGAGAACATTCACACTCCATTAGCTAACGCACAAAAATGCACAATAATGCACAGTGAAGTTAGTGCCATGCCCAGTACTTTTGTGGGAACCAGCAATATACCACAGTCCTTCCACCTTCTCGATCTATCAGATTATTATAAAGATGCCCTAAATCCATTAGCGGTGCCGCAAAAGGTCGATAAAGTTATTTGCTCGGGGTTCGTGAAAGGGGGGAAGCCTCCAGTGCTCGAGTCAGAAATAATCTCCACTTACTTACGCATCCCCATGACCAAGCCCGAAGCCTCCTGGCGCTCGCTTGGATGCTGCTGCTCCCGCTCCAGCCTCCCCCGCAAAACGGCTGTTTCAGAGAGCTGCCACCACCAAACTCGTACTCCTGGTTCAGACATAATCCTACATAATATCTGAGTTTTGGGGTTTTTTTCCCCTTAAACCTAGGGAAGTACTAGGGACATCTGTCAAACCTTCTGGTTGATTGGGGTGAAAGATTATATATTTCCTTAATTATTTAATTACTTGGAAGACACTGTGTAAATGAGGGCTCTGTAAACAGTTTACATCTACTGCTTTTCAAGCTTAAATTCGGTGATATAACAAAACCAGTGTGAGCCCTGTGCATTTAGGCAGGGAAGGACGGATGGGAAAGACTGAGCAATTACAGGGAACTGTGCACATGCCCAGAGTCAAGAGGATGACCTAACATTTACCCTTTTAAAAATAATTACTTAAAATGAATACTTTCGGTTCAATAAATACATCTCTGAAAAAGGAACAATGATTCGAGGTGCAACCGTTAATTCACAAAGATCATGTCCTATTACCACTTTTTAGTTCTTTGTAAGGGGAAATGAGGGGAGCAGAGCTATTGCAGACCAGTCAAAAAAAAGTTTATATCTCAGTCAGTGTTTCCTTGTTTAAGCATCTAATTTCATAAGCTGCAGGGTTTTGGTTTTTTGTTTTGGGTTTTTTTTTCTTTTGGTTTTTTAGGGTTTTTTATTAGTGATCTTCTGTGTCTCCAGACCAATAACACTGTAGAAAAACTTAAGGAATGTCTCAGCCAAAAGCACCTGCTGGGATGTGAACTCTAGCACATACTCTCTGGTGCCACAGGGCCACGGAGAAGTGTACGCATACAATTTTATACATTTTTAACCCTTGCACGCTGGGATTTCCTGATGAAGTGTTCTGGAGTGAATAATAAACATTCATAAAGATTCCCCACCACTCCGCACTGTGGAGATAGGGATTCTAGCTTTACATACTAACAGAGCCTATTAGTTTAAGGTTAATATATTTATATATTTGAAATTCTGTTCCACTTTCTTCAGCTCAGAGGGTATACATTCTAAATCCTAGCATGAACTCTATTTTAACTCAGCAAGAGTAGATTTCATCTTTTGTTTTTAGGATGTAGGATGCTGTTTTCATTTAGGGATAGCATTTTTTTCTGTAGAGAGAAGCGTAATCTCAAGATGCTGAGGCAATGGAAGTCCTGCAGGAACTAAGAACCATTCTTCTTTCAGCAGCATCTTTAAATCAGATTTTTCTACTCTTCTTGCAATCTGTGAGATGACAGCAGCTCCCAGATCAGAAATCTTGCCTAGAAAACCCAATCTAATCCAGAATAGGAAATTTTATGTTTTTATACAAGTGTTTTCCAGGTCAGTTTCTCTTTTCCATCCGGGCTGACACTGCCCTGAGGAGCCTGCAAGTGCAGGGCAGCAGAACAGGCTGCTATAACCTACGCCACAATAATATTAATAGCCATACCTGTGCTAAAGCTAAAACCCCACAGCGGTCTGTGGTAACAGAAGAAGAGAGGTTAAGAAGAGGGAAGATGATGAAGGGAAAAAATAGAGTTCATAATCCTTGAATACCCACCAATTTTGTTCTCTGAAGATGATTTCCTATTCATCCGCAGGTTTGTATTTTTGGTTTACTAAGATGTCAACAGCTAAAAACTGTGTCCATGTTACTTCCCGTTGAATCTCAAAGGGAAACAGAACAGCAAGTGCCAAATCTGGACCTTTAACAGACTTGTCTTAACACCTGTCTCTCTTCGATATTCAGAAAGTCATTTAGTTCTCTAGAACAGTTACTACTCAAACTTGAAAACTAGAGCTCTGATTGTAGAAGGATACGTTAATCTGTTCAATAACATTTTATATCCCACTGGACAAAATTACAAAACCATTAGAAATTCTTAAAAGCAGTAATTTCTATGGATGAAGCTATTATTTTGGGAATTTCACACAGACCATTTGCTGTCTTTTCCAAAGACAAAACTAAGACAATAGAATAACATGCAGGTACCTAATTATTCATCCACAGGCTAGATCTAAATGACTGTTGTTAAAGGACAAAAGGAAGAAGAAACAGTAAATGCAAATTGAATAGCAGGAGAAGAGCATGTCAAAAGGTAGCAACAGGAATAAGAGGAATTGAAAAGAGATTTGGAGGAGAAATCTACAGTATACATCTTGCTGTCTTCAACCTTACAGCCCACAATACTTAAAAGATCTCAGATTCAGACTCAACTCCTGGTGGGCCTTTCATTTTGTCAGCTTCAGGCAGCCAGTGGAGACAGCTCAGACAGAAGTTTTCAGGAAGAAAGACACTTTGCTTTGTTTTACCTTATCGAATTGAGAACACAGACAGATGCAGGGACTTTTATTCTAGCTCATTTATTCACAAAAAGCAAGCAGGGACTTGTCAGATTTTGAAGGGAGAAGAGTGACATATTGAAAAGACAGTGACAAAATAACACAAAAAAACAGGCCCACACCTGAATGGTGTATCTACCTACACTGTCACAGCTGTGCCCGGAATATACTGCCTGAGACTCCTAGGGAAGATTTCTCAGAGAGGGTAATGCTCTCTGACTACTAATTTCCACAAAATAAATAAACACTAAAAAAAAAATCTTGCTGCTTATTATTACCTAATATTTTTCCTAGTTCTCCCACACTCTGTCAGCAAGGTCATTTGAACTGATGGTCTAAATCCTAAGCCATAAACTCTCACAAGATGGAATGTATATGGCAGTTAAGTCCTGTCTGCCCATCTCCTCCTCCTTTCTTTCCTAAAACAACCTTTTCTGCTTCCTGAACAGTTTGATGTTCCCAAAATAAACGCCACTGTCTGCAGTGCCAAGCTGAAATCCAAACTTCCATGACATGGTAGTTGATATCTCTGAATTTCAGCTGAAACTGGGCTTTCCAGAATTCCTCATCCAGATATTAATTACTTCAAAAGTACTAAAGATAAACCTCTTAGGAAACTGAAACATTTCTAGATTCCTTCTGCGCTACTGTTTTGGAGGCTACTGTTGCAAGGTTAGGAAGAAGATAAATGTGCGTACAGCAACAGCCACAAGACCCACAGGGAGCAAGTAGCTAGCATATGCATTTTCTTAAAATACTTAAGTCCCTATTACCAGTATTTTCCCTTCCCTATACAATAAGGGGAAGCATTCTTTTTTTTTCTAAATATTGCACAATATTCATGTTGAAAATCCCATCTACTAAATTATACTACTAAATAAGGCCTGCAATTTGTACTTTTTCTTTAAAATCTTGTTTATTAAAGACTTTTAACATTGAACCCGCTGCTAGGTATGGTACATGCACAGACTGTAACCATAAAAAAATATATATATCCTCTGTATGTATTAAGCAGTGCAGTCATGCCAGAAGACTGTTAAGGTGTCCTAGCGCTTGGGATGGCCGCTCTTCTGAGCAGATGAGCTGCAGAGGCAGACGACAGAGCAGCAGCCTGTCTTCAGCTTTGCCCTCATTCTTCCCGATGGAAATACAAGGGCCACTAAGGAATGGGTACAGCTCCCATAAGGGGAGATCAATGAATCTGTTATACAAGGGATTAAAAACAAACAAACAACAAAAAAGCACAACACAAACTCTTAAACCCTCTGTGCAGTCTGTCAAGGGGAACAAAGCAGTTCCCTGTAAACAGGAATCATTTTGGTTGTTACACCAAGCTCATTAAATTACATCAAACACCTGAGCCATTAAATTAATGACTTACTGGATGCAGTCTACCAACAGTATACAGGGAGTAGCTCTGAACAGATAGAGATTTTTTAAAAAAAGGAAGGAGCTTTCCATTTCTGATTTTTATTGTGTCAGGAAACCAAATAGCTGACAAAATTCCTAATTCCTTCTGAATAACTGTTAGGAAGGCTTTGAGCACAGCTCTGTGTTTTTTTTCTGATCTTGGTTCTTCTAACCTATATAAAAATTAACTTCCTAGAAGCCGAACCTGTGCCACTGTTTATCGAGAGGCGGTGAGCAACCGCGCTGCCCGCGAGGCCGCGGCGGTGAGCAAAGGTCACAAGGCTGCAGGAAATCAGCCACTTTTCACCCGAGCTCGGGGAACTTCCTGCTGCGCTCCTGGCACCGCGCTGCTTTCCGTGTCCGGAGGAACGAGCCGAGACACTCACTGCCCTGCGCTTCATCCCCGTCAGCCACTCGCTCCCAGCTTCCCTGAGGCTTAGCAAGGTGCAAGGCGGGCACCCCCGTCGCTCCACAGCTGCTAGCACGGAAGCTCCGAAAGGTGTTCCCGCTATTCCAGGAAATCCTTCCTCCTCCTCAGGAGCCACCGAGTCTGGCACAATAACACACACTGCACAACATTCAGCCTTTTTACTCCTCCAACTTTAGGACTTTTGCCAAATGCAGAGCACTATTAGTCAAACTCCCGCTTCAGTATCTTCATGTAAACTCAACACAGTGAGTGATACTGTAGTCAGCCGCTGGGTTCATCACACACTAGCTACAGCGTAACAACAACGTATCTCCCTACCTGTCATCACCTGCTATCTTATCTCTTCACTCCCATCTTACGCTTTTTAATTTGGCCAGTTATAGACTGCTATATCCATTAAATTAAAATTTTTATCTCTAAATGCTTTCCACTTGCACGTGTGTATATATGGACTCATATCACTCTGCTCTCATCCCACATTTGCCTATTTTCATTGTCACACTGAGGCAATCTGTAACCATGAAAAATACTTGGATTCTTCTGCTGAGAACTGTAATCCCAGAAATATTTCTCATGACACATGCTGCTTTAATAAATAAAATTACTTTCACTATTAATTTTCTTCTTTTCATAAAGATGAAAGTTATAGTAAATGACAGTAATGCCAGGTAAATTGAAACCACCTCAGCTGCAGAATGAAACCAGGGTTTCAGAAAGGTGGTATGATCTGTGCATCTAATGGTAGATGATTTTGTATTCACTGACTGCCATTTGGCTCCTTTAGCCTTCAGAGTAAGGTTAGTCTTTTTACAGAGACAAAGTATAAGAATGAAAAAATCCTCACTGTCATACCAGGAACATGGAGCAAACAAGTCTCATATTGAGCTAGAGCTGATGCAGACTGACAGCTGCCTCAAAAGCATCCTGGAAGCATCTCCTAAATGAAATGTATAGAAACAGAGGGAACTGCACTGATTAATGTCACGGAAATGTCTTAAAAATACCTAGTAGAAACATCTCATGAAAAATATACATTGGAGGAAAGAAAAACACTTCATCTTAGATATGTCACATATAGCTTCCTAGGAAAACTATTGAAGAAAAAGTTCTTGAGTCTGGCTATAGAGTCATTAAATTTCTATTCCTCAGAGTACTGCTCTCAAGTTTCAGAACAAAGGGAGAGGGTATATAGAGATGATGAAGTTCAACTTCAGACACACAAACACTACATGCCTGTTCACTCATCTGTCATTATTGTGCTCTTTACACTGATACTAAATTTTAAAAGGACTTACGACAAAGCTTTCAGTCAAAGGCTAGCAGAAATTGTAGTAAAAAGGAAAATGCTGATGCCGGCTAATTAAAAATTTAAGGTTTTACTTAGGTTTGCTTCTAGAAGCCTGAATTTACCTTTTTTGTTTGCTTTGTTTTGATCATGCATCAGTCTACACTGATGTAACACAGTTCTTACCATTTATTTCTACAATAGAGCTAGGATTAATAACTCATAGTAAGAAGCTGTAAGAACTAAGCTGATAATCAGATAGTAGACATACAACATAAAACCATACAAACTAAAGGCCTTTCATGGATCATTATCTTTAAAACTTTGCTCTCCTACTAATTTTGATGTAACGTTAGTTTTTTTTTAATCATATCTAAACTTTTTTTTAAAGGAAAGAACCTAAGTTTAAACTAACCCCATAAAGTGCCTCAAGGTACCGCTCTGATCCATATCTGACAGTTAGCAGGTGGCAACATCAAATTATGGATTTATTCATTGCACTTTTGTAAAAGGACATTCTCCCCATAGTATTCCAGCAAACCTTTCAAATGCTGTTTAGAGTGAATAAAACAGCTGCTGCTCCACTTCTAAGATCCAGCTTTAAAACTAACTGCTTTTTATCCTGCAATACACTACACTAGAACCTTTATGACAGTCTCTCTTCTATAAGAACAGATCTTCCAATTATTTCAACATTATTTGTTCCCTTACCTTTGTCTAGAATTTCATCT